TAAACCAATTCTAAACTCTAATTTTGCATTATTTACGGCTAGTTTTAACTCTATGTTCTATCTGCATTTTCTCTTAACAATACCTACATATGGCCGGGTATTCTGTTTAGCTTTGACACCATCCTGGACAGAGGAATCACCTTGGCTACTGCCGTCAACAACATCCATTATACATGATAGAGTTAAGCTTGTTTTTTAGTGCTTAGGCTTGTTTCTCTCTTAGAGATGGCTTTTACTGAAACAATGTGCTCTCATTCCTTTGTATAAGGGCGACAGTGGCGTTGGATGTAGGAGTTTGCCCTGAAATCGAAGGATTGACGGTTCAAGCCCCGACTCCGACTTTCAGTGTCGTTGTGTCCTTGGGCAAGAAACTTCACCTGCATTGTCTACTGGTGGTGGTCAGAGGGCCCGGTGGCGCCAGTGTACGGCAGCCCCGCTTCTGTCAGTGAGCCCCAGGGCAGCTACAATGTAGCTTGCCATCATCAGTGTGTGAGTGTGTGCGTGAATGGGTGAATGAATTAAGTGTAAAACGCTTTGGTCAAGTCTAATAAAGGCGCTATATAAGTACATGCCATTTACAATTTACCATTGTTTGACCTGAAAAGTGGCTCTGAGCCCATTTTCTTAACGGTTTCCTTCTTAGATACGGAAAGCTCTGGAGCTAGTCCTCCATAGCCTTCTAAAACATATAACCAGAAAAAGCCATACTAGAATCTGCCTCTCCCACACCGTGACATGTCCAGTCATCTGTCACTGCTCAAACAAACAAAGACCGAATTCAGAACAAAAAAATAGAAGCACACCAAAAATCTATGGAAGATATTGCACCTGATGAACAACAAGGCCAACCTGCTGAGTGCAGGTAAAGGCTATGCCCTGCTAGCAGAAAGAATAAACCAGACCTGCTTTGACTCAGATCACCTTTAGCTCTAAAATCTCATTGAACACATTGTCCTCAAGCTCTCAACCTGTAAAAACAACAGGTAAGGCGAGCCTTGAAGACCGTCAATGGACACAAAGCTACTGGCCAAGACAGAATACAGATTAAACCAAAGGTCTCTATCCTTTAAGAACAGCCAATGTCATTCTGGTCAAAATATAGGCAGCAGCAATGGGCCTAAATGACTTACAAATATGACTGTGTTCCTTCCGTCATTAGTTAAACCATCATTAAATTTGTAAAAGACTCCAGCATGGCGGGTCTGATGATGGAGGGTGATTAGTCAACTGACAGAAAAGAATCCCAGGGGCCATTCTGTTGCCATGTGGCTTGATTTTCCGTACTGCACGACTAGGAAAATTGGTAACTACACAGAGGCAGTTTCTCAATTCACAAGCATGCGAATACGGACTCGTTTCCTCGCCAAGTATGTTCATGAGAAGAACACATGAAAGTGTGTACTCTGGGAGAACGGGAGCACGCAGCATAAATATGGATCAATTGGAGCAGAAGCGTACTGATGACATCACATGCTCAGCTCATCTGGAGCTGCATTTCACCGCCTGTTATTAATAGTCTCTAGATAATAATAAATTCTTAGGTTTTTAATTTATTGAGGGAATAATAATGAACACAGTCAGATAAGCACAAATCAAATCAACATTTAGCCAAATAAGACAAAAAAATCACCATCAGAGCCAGCGGTCCTTCACACACGGCTATGCAGAGAGAGGGCTCCTGCAGACGGGATGGGATTAGCCCTGGCTGCCGTTAGCCTCAGAGCTCCGCTTTTTGCTGCAGTGATCTTAAAGGTGGAAATTATTTTTTAAATTACGCATTAAATCAGTAAATGCTCCATATAGTGACGCTTAAAAGTATAACTTTTTCGGCTCAAATGATCTTAAAATGTACTTTTATTGAACAACAGCAAGAGAAAAGAGAACTTTTAAGCGCCTCTTTGGAAGCTGCTGCTGCCGCAGTGCATGCTGGGACAGCTGTCAATCTCAAGAACGGACAAATCTGCTCTGATGCATGCTGGGTAAAGAGGGAGGGGCCGTTCTTGGCCTGCTGTTTTTGTAAATTGGTACTTCTTGTAAACAGTACTATGGCTGAGGCCGATGACGTTTCACGAGTACACGAGAACGCACAAGTACACATATTGAGAAATGGCCACAGTTCCCGGTGGAAAAACATGGTGGACTGAGTGACTGCTACGGCTGACCAGACTTTGCAAAAGTAAACATCTATAAACATTAGGGGTGGGTATTGCCAAAGAAGTCACGATTCGATTCGAATCACGATTCACAGGCCACGATGCGATTCTATCACGATGCATCGCGATACTTGAATTATTGCGATGCATTGCAATATTTTCTCCTCCATGTTTTGTTTTTTAATGACTCGGCACAGTATCCCACGGCCGGAAATGCTTGTGACACAAGGCAGCGTGCGTCAACACATTTGCAGCGACATCTACTGGACTGGAAGTGGTATTGCACTTGTTTTTGGCTGATGTTCGCCAACCATTCATGCAATTTTATTTATTCATTTTTTTAAATTAATAATCGATTCTTGGCATCAAGAATCGATGCAGTAGATCACGAAAATTAGAATCACGATGCATCATCATCATGATTATTTTGCACACCCCTAATAAACATGTTAGGATTTGTCTGATATATATCACCACAATGAACTGATTGCGAACAGCTACTGGAAAAAGAAATTATAGACACTCTTGGATAACTCAAAAAAAAAAACATACAAAATATAAGGAAACTGTTGTTTTTCTATTTCTGCTTGAGGATTGATATCCTAAGCTTTTGGTCTGTGACCAAAACTGCCCCCTAGAGTCTACCAGATCCCTGGATACAGCAGTGAACAGCTGCACAAAGTATAAAATGCTGCAGACGCTGTGTCAGTAACGTTTTGAGCATCAAGCATAAACTAGCCATAATGTCGCCCCAACTATCACCCTGTCAGAGAAGGTTACCTCCTTCAGGTTCCTGGGGACACATTTCTCCAAGGATCTTAGCAAAACTGTTTCCTGTGGAGAACCAACTGGAGAAGAAGCTACTGGTGCACATTTAGCAGGCCGTAAAACATGTCCCCTCAACCTGCTCTACTGCTAATAAGAAGTCTCTGCAGAGGGTTACTAAATCTGGAGAAATGATTATAGTCTGCCCTTTGCCCTGGGTGGAGGCAGCAAAAGGGCTTCCAGGGTCACCTTCTGGTGGTGAAAAATCTCTTAATAGTCATATGAACTTAGCTCCTTCTTGTCTCCATATGGTGTGAGTCTATAAGGAGATCGGTGAAGACCTGACTGAACTACAACCTAAACATCTGTGGCCTAATTGAACTTTGCATGGAAAAAAAAAGAATCCAAAGTTGTCAGTGACATCTTAAATGCTTTCTAATTGGATGCATGTCAGCCATTACCTCGGACAGAGCTGAATGGACTGGCATTATCGGTGTATAGGCAAAAAAAAAAAAAAAGAAAAGACGCCGGAGAAAGAAAAGCCAGTTGTGTGTGAGGTAGAGCTGCGAGGGAGATTGCCTTGATAAGGCAGCCGCAAGAGGAAATTCTCCTTTTTCCTGTGGACAGCAGCTGATATTTATAAACTTATCTGCTGTCGAGCGAAATCAGGGAACGTTGGCGACAGCCGCTCTCCCCCCCGCGCCCACCTCCTCCGGTGCAGGAGATGAGTTTTAGATAAAGCTGCTCCTCGATCAATGGGACATGGTCCTACCCTGAGCCTTTTCTCTGAATGCCGCTGCAGCGTGTGAAGTCACAGGAGAAAATAATTGGCACAGCTTGATCCATCCATCACAATAGCAGTAATCTAGGGTAGGGGGGGGGACCTAGTAAAGTCAGACAGAGAGCTATTGGCTGACAAGAACAGGATTAGTATGCCAGATGAACTCTTCCTCTCCCTCATGGTTCAGCATTTATGTCCATCTATAGACTCTGTTTTCCTTCATGTCTCTGCGACGTGACTCAGGCTTAAGACTGAAGAAATATGCTGAAATGGTGAAGGGCGCCTCAAACCCTTACAAGGTAAACAAGGAGCCTGTCAATCAGCAGCACTCGCATGACAGACAGGCTTTGCACGCAGCAGCGGTGGAGGTGCTGCTGGGTCAGTTTTGGTAAAAGCCACAGCAGCTCCTGGGGACCTGATGGTGAAGGGATTTAACGAGAAGCCAGAAGCGAATACAGGAATGACAACAATGCACCGACAACCCAACACTCCCACCCTCTTTCCCTCCCTGTTTCCCCTGTCCTTCCTTCTCCACGACTTCTCCCGGCGCTGCCGTTCTTTGCGGTTGCCACGGAGAAAAAGAGGTGAGAAAGCACTGACTGACTGCAGCTAGATTTGAGGGTCATTTGAAGAACACAAGCAGGCAAGGCAAAGCAGAGAGCTGTTTTCAGTTCATGCCTGGGAAAAGGAGTCCTCTCTCTCTTCCCCTGGCTCACCCCTCTCTCCCGCCCCCTCCCCCTTTGCCACACAACAGCTAAATCAATAGAAATGACAATGCAGTTGGAAGGTCATTGGTGAGACCAGGCGAGCTATGTGGTGGAATGTTTGCTGATCTGCTGCGCGGGGAACGAGTGGAAAAACAAATACACGTCCTGCCAGCGCTCCTTCCTGCGCGTCCCGCTCCGCTCCAGCTGGAAGACCCAACACAGCTGTCACAATTCCTCCTTTCCTTCAAATACAACAACATGCAAAATGGAGATGAGCGCTGAATTTGCCAGATAGACGATCCTTGACAGGATGCTGACATGATCTGAAAATAAACTGAAAGCTGCGCTGCATGCTTGTTTACACACGCCTCTTTATGTAAACAGTTCAGGAATGAGGTACACGTGTCAGGCTACAAAATACTTCTACTCATTAGTAGTGATCTGTGAAGCATGACCAGAGGGTATCTACACAACACCTGCTACGTCTTTAACCCCGCTGGAGCTGGTCAAAGCGTCAGAAACCAGCGCTGGCAGCTGCGCAGGGAGCAGAGCAGAAAAGCACAAGAAAACACAGTTTCATCCACGTTCACTCACAGAATATTCCACGGTCCCTTTGGGTCTCTGGAACGACATGCGCCTCCCATCCTTCTTCTCTGGAGTCTTCTTCTGGCCAGTATCTGAAAGCAAACGAGGCAAGGTGCGCATTACATTCATGTTCCTCTCTCCCCCAGCTTGTCACAAGCTGCCGTTTCCCAGCCCTGTGGGTAGACAGCTCATTCGTCAACAGCGAGCAGGCGAGCCAGCCAGCGATACGAGCTGTGAGCGCCGGACCCCCCCCTCTCTCTCTTCTCTGGTTCTCGCTCTGCTTCTATCCCGCCGCTCCTGCTCTCTCTCTATTGCACCGTCCTCCCTCGCTCTGCCTCTCCTCTCCCTCCCCTCTTCTCTTCTTAGTCCAGCACATAACAGACAGCCGACCGCAGCGGCTCACCTTCCCTCCCACCACCTCTGTTGCTTCTCACAGCTGAAACAGACCGGGCTGACCTCCATCGGATGGGGTGGGGGGGGGGACTGCATGTAAGGAGGGAAAGATTCAGATGGGAAGAGGGGTACGTTAGCAATGGGAAGGGAGAAGAGGCAAAGTGGGGCTGATGGGGGACAGGGAGGGTTCAGTGATACGCACCGATTGGGTAACTGAGAAATGCTCCAAGAAAAAAGCAGCTAATAAAGAGGTTGGCTGCAGGTGTGGGAAGATGTAAACATCTCTTTAATAAAAAAAATAAAAAAAAGACATCTCTTAAGAATCATCACTTCTGCAGAAGACGAGCAGCTGGAGCTTGGGATGGCAAACACAATGAGTATAATACAGGACTGCAGATGATGAATGGCAGCAGAAGATGATAAAAGTGGACTATTGGAGAAGATTGCAGGCTTAAAGTCGTAGAGAAGCGGCTGTTCCAAACGTTGCATTTCTGAATTCTCCCGAGTGGTGCACGACTTTACACGAGTGAATAAAGTGAATGTGATTGGTTGTTTATCAAGGGGGCGGGATTATTGTGGTGGAAACTTCGCAAGCATTTTGGTTGTGGCAGGTGTCTCGGAAGCATCTTGCTAACCAGTTAGCAACTTAGTGCTAGTAGGTTCCCAATGGGAAATTCCATTGGGACCAAGAAGCACTAAATTGGTGACTTAGAAACGACACTGTCAAGGAACGCTATGGACAGAGGAAACATGCAAGAGGAGGAGAGTTTAGTGTCGGAGGTCGTGGATGAGTCTCCTCCATCATCCATTTTTTATTTAGAGGAGGAGAGCGGGGACGAAGATGTTGTGGAAGAGGACGCCAGGGCGGCAGAAGCTTGGTTTGGTGTAGAAGGCTTACAGCCGTACATGTTTGAGCCCTTGCCTCGCAACGCTGCCAGTTCTGTTAGCTCTACGCCTGCTGAAGACACAGAAGTCCATCCCCGTGAACACTGGGACGGAACTCAAAGTAAAGGATTTCTTATTTCAACCGTTGCATATATTAGCTGCAACATATCTATCAAGATGCTATGACTGAAAAAATTTTTATTGACAGATGACCGTTGATATATGATTGGCCGAATTTAGGTGTTCAAGCTGACGTATAACTAACTGGCTTGCATAAGATAACGAAAAAAAAACCCACAATTTTAAGACAGGATTTTTTTTTTTTTATAAAAATGTTATACATTTTGGGTCAATATCGTCTGATAAAGAGTAGATATATATACATGTTTAAGCCAGAATAATTTGACATTTTAATATGATTTCCCTACGACTTTAAAATGGAGATGAAGCAGAGATGGTGAAAGGAACATTGAAAGCCAGCAGATGAAAGACAAGAGGCGAATGACAGGCCAGAGGATAGAGAGAGATGTAAAGGGATGGAGGAGCTGTTCCTAAGGGACTGGCTTTGGTCACTCTCTTCTAAAGGCACATTTTCAAGGTGGGACACCTCAGGTACAAGAAGATGGTCACTCAGATTTTGAATACAGAGCCCTGAGATGATGGATTCAAGTCTTTGTTCTTTCTTCCTGTACATCGCATCTTAGAGAAACCCCCCTATTTGCCACTTCCCTTACGAAGGATATACATGTAGCCTGAAAACATGACTCATACACCAGTGTTGCTATTTCTGGGGCTGGGGACTGCCTGGCAGAGAATAAGGAAGGGAGGGAGGGATCAGCGCTGATTCAGGTGTTAACAGTCTGGGGTCTACTTTCCTCAGATCAACACTGATGTACTATTATAGCCAGATCAGCTCCGGTGACGGCTGGGTTTTTTTTTTTTTATGCGATAGCTGAAGACTTTGCATATTTTCAAAGAATTTTCATGACATTTTAAACTCTGTTTAGTCATTTCTGGATGTTTGTTACATAAACGTCTCCCCACAGAACACATGGTTGACAGCTTGTCACAGTTTCAGCAACATGTTTGTATCCCCCCCCCATAGAAATGCAAGGCTAATATTCACAGCTCTAAAATGTCAACACAAAAGTAAACATATTCTAACTTGCTAAAAAAAGGTGCTAACCAGAACGTAACCCTAATTTCATGCTTAATATTGGGGAAAAAAACTGAACTGAAATTAATATCTGGAAAGGGAACACTGAAAGTTATATTTATTGTGCTTGTATTATATTCAGATTAGAGCTAATAATCAATTGAGAAGTCCTGAGCCAAAACCTAACTTATATGCTATATTTTTTGGACTATACGTCGCTCCGAAGTCGTAGGGAAGCGGCTGTTCCAAACGTTGCATTTTCAAATTCTCCCGAGTGGTGCCCAACTTTACACAAGTGAATAAAGTGAATGGTCATTTATCAAGGGGGCGGGATTGTTGAGGCTGAAGGTTCGCCAGCACGTTTGGTTGTGGCCGGGTTCTCGGAATCATCTTGCTAACCAGTTAGCAACTTAGTGCTAGTAGGTTCCTAATGGGAAATGACATTGGGACCAAGTAGCACTAGTTTGGACTTTTCCTTTAAACTAAACGGCTATTTAAAAATTATCTGGATTGCAATTGATCTCTTCTTTTCAGAACATGTGAGCGGAGCGTGTAGAGAGCGGAAGAAATATGGTGGAGCTCGGAGCGGTTTTTAAATTAAAAGGCCGGAGTAAGGATTTCACCCTGCTCCAGTTCGCTCTGATGCGCTCACAATGTCAATTAAAAATGTTGGATTATAAAATTTGTAAAATAACACTTATTTAAGTCTAGTAAAATAAAATTATAGTTAAATAGGGAACGCGGGGCAACATGGATGGAGCGGGGTGTTACGTTCCCAGCTATAACAATGCGATAGTTTAACAGCTAGTTAAATAAGACGCTTAGCAGCGCTCCCTGCTGGTGTCAGTAACGGTAGAAGAACTACTGACATGTCGCTAAACTCCACAAAACGCCAGAAAAGTCACTATATTTTTGTCTTGTTGTTTTTTTAGATAGATAGATAGATAGATAGATAGAATTAAATTCTAACATTTTATAATCTCTACAGCTGGTATCCTGTAAAATAATAAATCAGGTTGTGTCTCACATTGCATGCTAGTTTACATTAATTGTCTGATATCTTACATGCGTAATGCTTTTAGCTTATTACCTCACTTATATATCATTTACGCACATCAATGATACACATACACGTCCTTTTCTAAAAGCCGATGTTTATTTCTGTATGTAATTAGATATTTGTTTTTACTTTAAATAACTCGTAGCAGTCAGACTATTTTGTGCTGATCAAACACATGGTGTATGGACAAACCGGGGGCATGTGCCGAATCAATTATTCAGCATCCAAATGAAAAACCTCGCAAGAATGATTGCTTTCCGGAAAGAAAATACCTGGCAGGAGAATGACTTGGTTTGTGTTGCTATTTAGAGGCGACGCGTCAAATCTCTGATTTTATGCCGTCTTCCTCTGAAATATAATCCAGGGAGTCTTTTGTTTAACTGCAGGTTATTCCAGTGCAGCAAACTGCAGCTTCCTGCCCAATTCAATGTTTTTGTTGCTGCTGCAAACACAGCTTTTAACATGAAATGTGCACTATTTAAGTGGGTGCATAAATCACAACCAAATGGCTGAAATAATAGAGTAGGGAAGCAGGAGGAAAAGCAGGCTGAAAAGAGCCAGACAGATGGGCAGTGGAAGAGACAGGCAGATATGCATTAGCAGCAGGGGTGATGGCACATGGGGATTCTGTGATTGGTCTGCAATTAAAAGTGACCCGTGGACAAAAACTAGCTTTTTCTCCACACTTCATGCGGGGCTGCAGAAGAGCAGAGAAAAGGCAGTTTTTTAAGTGGCAAATGCTCAGGTTTGTTATCGCTTTCCAGAAAATAGAAAGGATGCTTTTAGACTTTACAAGGCAACACATTTTACTTCCCTTTTTTAAAGGGGTGATAGAATGTTTCTATAGGGTATCTGCTGCTGGTCCTTAAGGTCTCTGAATAGGGTGTGTAACATTGGTTGGGCTGAAAATGGCAAATTTGCTGTTCTATGAGCCCTAATGCAAGCCTGGTTAAAAGCCCCAGAATGAAATGACAGGTTTTCTTCCTTTTATGGTAAGCTGATGAATATTTAGATGAGCTGTGCTCTGATTGGTTGGTTTACAACGAGCAAAGCTGCTGAGCAAAGACGCATCATAGCAACAAGCACTCACTCACTGAAACATCAAATTGTTGATATGGTAGGGTGACCAGATGTCCTCTTTTTCCCAGACATGTCCTACTTTTCATAACTAAAAAAATGTCTGGGAGAATTTCAAAATTGTCTGGGAGTTTAGTCGATTACAGTGCAAGGGGAAGTCCTGGGGAGCCAGCGGGGGACAGAGCGACCGAACCCGACCCCGATCCCGTCAGCGGCCCAGCCACCCCCACCCCTCAAAAAAGTGTCCTCCGTTTCAGAAACCCAAATCTGGTCACCATAGATATGCTACCATTGCTATCAACAGCTTAGCGACAGAATCATACTTCTAGCTTGCGGTTGTGATGGCCTTACAGTGGGAACAGCCTCTCGTTTCAGTTAAAGAGGTTTAGCAAATCCTGCTTTTAACTGTTCAAGATTTTGAAAGCTGTCTCTATTAATGTTCTTGGGCCAGTAAACCAGTACGCTGGTCTGTATGTTAATTTTGGGGCATAACAAAAGTACAGGCCAAAACCAAATAAGGC